GTCTCGTGTACCAGACCTCGGTACGTCTACTTAGCGTTAAGTGGAAAGCCCTGCACTTCATTGCTGGGATGGCCCCCTTCAAACTCATATGAGTCTTGTAGTTGTTCATGTGTTTCGCGAGATCACCTTTCCTATCGTACTTTGGGATTTTAGGGAGTGCGAAGTGATTCAGCATGGGAGCATTTCTAATTTCCTCTGAGAAGGGAGAGTGTTCATCGTCATCATTGAGGTCACAGGACCTCTGGGGCCCTTCTAAATCTTCTATCTCCCCTCTTTGGGACCGAGACGGTAGTGGAAAAGGTCCTACACTTCTAGCCTGGTTTCTTCTTTCCAGCCTATTTCTAGGGAGAGGGACTGGAGGCTCTCCTTGACACGTCGGTTGACTGTCATGTTGGTGAGATTCCTGCTGCTTATCTCTAGGTATTGGAGGTGGAGGGTGAGTAGACCCATTTCGAGGCATTTGAGGTCGACAATCCTGCCTACCTCCAGGCACCCCGTAATTAATCATGTTAAAAACACTTCCCGATCTCTGAGGTCGACTTTCGGGTTCGTAATTTGGAGGGAAATTGAATGGAGCCTCATATGGCTTTTCCGAGATGTAATTCACCGATGTTTCCATTTCGGCATCTCTTCCTTGTGGAGCCCCCACTCCAGTATGTAGATGTCCAGCCATTTGACTCTGGACCTCTTCCTCATGATATTATCCTAGTGCTTCGGGAAAGATGTTTTCTGGAGCAGTATATGGAGGGGCATATCATCCTTGCCCTTGCATGTTCGTTAACATCTCTTGCATGGCTATGTTTTGCTGAGTTATGTTCCTCATGTTGGTGGCCATGGTTATCATTTCCCTTGTGAGACGTGCAGCGACCCCGCCTTCACCTCTAGATCATCGCCTTCGCGCGGGAGGTCGTGGTCGAGCTGTTGGGGCAGCCCGCGAGGGTTCCCCTTCTTCAGGGTACTCTCTTGTCCTTCTTGGGACATTTACAAGGGTTGAACTCATCTCTCAATGACCTCAGTACGGGACCTTTCCTTTATTCAAGGGTTCCGAGTTCATTTCCACTCATTTTTCAAGGAAACTCATGTTTCAAGGATAAGAACTTCTTTTACTCGCAAACTTTCAGATGCAGCCTGGCGTTCTCCCCACGCGTGCTTGTGGTTAAATGTATGGTTTCCCACAGATGGCACCAATCTGTTGACCCCAAAAAATGAACTCAACAGATACCGGGCCTACCCTTGCCACGTTAAGTACGTATCCGACGCGTTTCTATCAAGACGAGAACGGTAGTTCGGTTAGAATAGACTCAGGAGGCAGTTTCCGACAAGAGACACAAATGTTCAGACTCCGGCGGTTGATTTTGACGACACTTATACTATTGACAAATGTCTGATCGGTATTCCCAAACTAACTTTTCTTTTGTTATGGAATATGTGGAAGGATAGATATGAGAATATGAATTACTTGGTGTTGGAATCTCAATATATTGGTTTATCAGGCATGTGCAAACTTTCAAGAGCAAGACATGTAAACCTTTCTTGTGTTGTTTCTTTCATACAAAATTGTAATATTGTCTCCCTTAGGTTTTTCTGATTACACAAAAACTTCCATCATTTGTTTATAAAAATTAAGGCTATTTATACAACCCCGGCCGACGTGGTGACCGTCGGATCAAAACCATGTGGCAGCATCCTCCATGCTGAAGCTTCACGTCACCATCCCATCTATGTAATCAATGTTCTGTAGAGGGCGGGCCGTTCTATTCTTAGGCTGACACACTGACATTCTGACACACTTTATTACAAATATCATATCAATCATTTCTAGGAAATCTTCAAATCCATTACATGGGACAGCATCTGCTTTATGAACCTCGAACGAGTTGAGAGAGCCTCGGATGGGCCTGAGCCTCGTCTTTGATGAGGTGCTTCAGACTGGATTTCGTTGCACAGTGTGATAACTTCGGGTATTTGTGTTGAGGACTTCGACTTACTTGTCTTCATTGGCGTGTCTGACCTACTGGGTCTCTTTTGACTTGTTGACTATTTGCAGCTGGCATCTGGTCCCACGTGGGCCTGTTTGCTTATGTGGCGTCCAAGCTGGGACCTCAAATATGGTGGTATAACAATGAATATGATCGAATTACACAAGGCTAGCTTTACACAACAATGTAGTAATTTTTCTTACTTGTCACAGTTTGAGCAATATTTTTTATTTTTTTGGAACAAGTAATTGAGATCAAAATTCAAGTATATGGTTATTATCTAAGTTCCACCTTTTAACGAAAATATTTTTAAAAAAAATTAACAAGCACGGAATCAACACATATCTATAATAACTCCTAATATTGGATCAACCACTCCAAGACTATCAACTTAATAGGTTAAGTGATTGTTCTACACATTATAATCTTAGTTTATAAGGACCTAAATTCATTAACATATTCTATTCATGTGACCGTCCAAAATAAATGGCAATCATATGTATATTATAGATGCTCAGTATAATACGATATAAGATGAATAAGTATCACATTACATCAACGAAAAATGATCTAAGGAGAAAACATTGGAACATTAGTCCTCAAACTTTCAAAAAGTTGAATTTCAATTCCAAACTTGCATATTTCTTCCAATAGTTATCTTTTTACTTCTTATCACTTTATGCTATCTAATTAGTCTTTAATTGCTTCGAATCAACTTCAAATTACAAAGTCGCCATTTCACTTCATTGCATCCAAGTTCGTGTTTTTCCTATCATTAACGTATTTTACACAAAAAATAAGCAAATATTCGCTTAATATAACAATAAATAATTAAAATGAAAGCCAAAATAATTACATAAAATACACTTATCATCCAACTTTTCCTACTTGACATCCTAACACATTATCTAAACGACAATTTCCCAAGCCAACTTCTTGTTACTTCTTCTAGATACACAATCTTGCATAGGCCATGACTCGAACGTTCAACCCTTTCGAAAATTTGTATTATCTGATCTATCTTTGTAAATTTAGGTTTAAACTCTGTCCATCAGGTGGTGTGTAGTGAATTGAAACCTAAACATATAAAACAAAATAAGAAAAAGAAAAAGGGGTCGGCCTTTCTATCGAACTGTAACGGGTTATTAGTACCAAACGTCTTTATGTTTGAAATTCATTGTGTAAAACATCACTAAGTTTTATTTATTTATTTATTTGCATTTTCATCCCTATTTCCACATTTCATTGCAAAAATCATCATTTTCATTCATTTTCTCAATAAAAAATGTAAAATGACGAATATACCCTTATATTTAAATAAAACAAAAAGAGAAGAAAAATAAAAATAAAGAATTAATTGCAACTATAGTCCCAATTTTTTTTAAAAAAATACAAACGAGACATCAAATAAATTATTAAAAAAACTTTTTTCCTCTTCCCTCCCTCCTCCTCCTCCACCAAATCCAGATAAACTAACAATTTTAGAGTATCTCCAAAAGACTCTATTTTTAAAGAGTATATTCCATCATTTGGAGAGCATCTATAAATTTATAGAGTTAAAATTTTGAAATACTCCAACAAGCTCTTTATATTTAACGCTTAATTTTATTACTCCAAAAAAATATTTATTATTTTTCTTTATCTTTTATTTTAACTAGCTTTTCTTTAGATTATTTTATTGTTTTCCTATATTGAAAATTGAAACACTTTAAATGCATTTAATTATAGAGAGTGAATTTGGAGAGCCAAACCCACTATCTAAATTAAAATGTTAATTTAAAAAGTCTCTTGGAGTATGATTTTAAATGTTGACTCTTTAAAATAAAGAGCATCTCATATTTAAAGAGTCTCTTGGAGATACTCTTAAGGATTATCCTCCATCAGATTCGTGGACCCTAGATGGCACATCTGCACGTTTTTATTGTGGAAGGATTGGCCGAAGGGGCAGAATAATATTTGATAGATGGAATCCTTTAACACATAGTACAATTGAGTGTGGTGATACGTTTGAATGAAGGTGGGCTCAAGAAAATTTCCAATTGTGCACGTGACAGAGAAATGAAAATTACTCACGAGGGTTTTGCTGAATTCTTCAGGCCCTATTGCTTTTCGTCTTCCCTAGAACATTTAATTTTGTTCTGTTGGGGTAGACTGGAAAAAGTAGTTCATCGTCTTTGATCGATGGTGTAAGTTAATCCGAAAGGCCACTTTAATTTCTTTTACATTGTATCTAAATGGGATGATGAAAGTGGAGAGGGGATGTAGGGTAATTCTATTTCGTCATGTGTATAAATGTAGGTCTTCCACTGTGGATTCTTGTTAAATTGTATAATTTTTGTTATCTTTCTTCCCCTCTTCCTGATTTTATTCAACGTATCTAAATGGACAATGTAGGTAATTTTAAATTTTGTGAGATTTAAAGTTGTCTATTATTAACTATTTTGGTCTAGGGTGTATGGAATATGCTTGAAGAAGTTGCTAATTTATCTGGTGGTGATGGTGGTGGAGGAAAGAGATTTTTATTTTTTTTAATAATTTGTTTAAGATTCATTTGTATTTTTTAAAAAAATTTAGGACTATGATGGTAACTAATTCTTTATTTTTCCTTTTGTTTTATTTAAATAAAAGGGTATCGTCGGTTTTTTTTTTCTTTGAGAAATTTGATGAAAATATGGGTGAAAAAGAAAAAAAATTAAAATAAATAAATAAATGAAACTTAAAAACGTTTTGCATAATAAACTTGAACGTTTTGTTCTAATAATTCAATTGCAAATCAGCAAAAGAATCACAAAAAAATAAATGAATAAATAATAGAAAAAGGTAACCACTAATGCACTGCCGCGTGTAATGTGAATTGTAGGGGTCTTCGATACACCACGATCTTCTTTTCCTCCCTCCGCTACCGCCTAAAACGAATATCACTTTCGTCGTCTCCTTTCTGCTCAAAACAACAAACCAGAACTCTCTCTCGAAAAATAATAATCACAGATTCGAAAAGCCCACAAATATTTTTAGAAGAAAATGGCTTCATTTGAAGAGGCACCACCTGGAAACTCAAAGGCAGGAGAGAAAATATTCAAGACCAAGTGTGCCCAGTGTCACACTGTTGAAAAAGGCGCCGGCCACAAACAAGGTGTATATATAAATATATATATTTAATTTTGTTATTGGTTAAATCTGATCTGTCGTTCCAAGGCTTAGTTTGTTATTTTGTTGTTAAATCTGATCTATTGTGCCCTTCTTCTTCTTCTTTTTTTATTAGTTGATTAATGGCCCTGAAATTTTTTGGTTTTTAATACGCAGTTCTAATAGTTAGATAGTTGAGATCCGAAGCTGGAATTGTAAAGATATTTCTGTTTTCTTCAATTCTAGAATTTTGACTGCTTCATTGAACAAGATACGCTATTGTATTTTCTGGTTAGTTTAGGATAGATTGGGTAGGGAACAAGAACAATAAGAAGATTTCTTGACGATTAGTATATGAAGATTGTTTTTTCTCATACAGATATGTGTCTGTAAGCAAGCCAAAATTATGAGGGACAACTGAGAATAATTGCATTGGTTTTTTGTACAGCGGAAAATGGGTGGCTGTTGTTTTTAGATATTAAACTGAAAATAAGTGGAAGTCCAAAAGGGTATCCACTACCATTTGCAAACAGGTCTTGGCTTTTGTGTGATTAGCTAGTTGGGTGAGGCAACTAGCTTACGAGGTGATGAATTAGAGTATCATCGTTCCATGTTTGTTACCACCATTTTTGCCAACTATGGTGAGAAGTTACAGACCGTGCCTCCATTCAGTAATTCAGATGAACCTCTGGTAATATGTATAAAAAGGAGGGAGATCTAAAGCAGGGGAAATAAGGAAAGAGAAGAAGAATAAAGATTAGAATGGATGTGGACATGCCCTTTATTTGAGAAATATCCCAAACTATGTTCAACTGGATGGTATTGAGGAACAATTATGGCATATATTTAATACCATCTTCTAATGGGTTGTTGACGTCTAGGTACTGGAGAACAAGGTTAGGCGTGGATAGAGTATTTCACTGAATTATAATAAAGTTCTGTTTTTCCCCCTAAAATATGAATGACCCGTGTGCGGATGCATTCATTTTGTTGTCTAAAAATGAAGGACGAAAGGATAAAGATTCTGCATCAGGTTAATTCCTTTAATGTTGATATGTTTGTGCGTCCATATGTATGGTTTTCTATATCATTTCTTTAGTCCCATAGGTTTGATCTTATAGAATTTGTCAATTTGATCCATTTTTCGGGATTTATTTTTTGAACAAAAGTGCTATAGGAAATCATTGCTATTCCATTATTAGGATGGCACTACCTCTTTTATTAGACTGATTGACCACACTACTTCATCAAAGTAAGGTTATTATCATGACTTAACCAGAAAAATCCTCAGTAGGAAACAGAAATATGGAAAAAATACAAGATGGAAAAGATGAAGAAATCTTGCTGCTGTCTCCTGCTAAATAGTGAATACTATTGTTTCCTAGCAGGAAAGAAGGCGGCCATAAAATTGAGCAGAAAAGAAATCAAAATCATTCTCCTTCTGATCATTATTAGGAGTAATTTTCGTCTTGCTCTCAAATACTTCAACACTCTCCCCATTATCACATTATTTTCCATTTCCAATAGCTCTACCTTCAATAGCTTCGAATTGTTCTCCATCTTTAGTTCTTTACCCATGTCTTCTGTGGTCACACATTAAGTTCTTGTATTAGATATAGCAAATATTTGTTGACGGTAAAGATGAAATACTTTTCCTACTGTTTCGAAAAATAATAATAATAATATTAATTTTCCTACGTGGAATTTTTGTTTCTGGTGTTTATGTAATCTGATGAAATGCCTATGCCTTCAGGTCCCAATTTGAATGGTCTCTTGGGAAGGCAATCTGGAACAACGCCTGGTTATTCCTACTCTGCTGCTAACAAAAACATGGCTGTTATTTGGGAGGAAAAGACACTGTACGAATACTTGCTGAATCCCAAGAAGGTACAAATCTGTTTAGACATTATTTAGCCCCTGTTTGGTTTAACTAAAAATCAGATCTACTAAAAAATTTGTTAAAGGTTGATGAAATGTATTGTTGAAAAGTTAATAAAAGTTGTGGATTTCGTGAAATGTGTGATTGAAAATGAGTTTAGAAAAAATGGGACCCAAAAACAGGGGCTTAAACATCATGTCTTTTTTGTCAATAAAATTTGTGAAGCCTACGTTTTAGGGGTTCCATTTTTGACTTCCCTTATGTGCTTATGTTTATCTTAAGACAGTAATCTAATCTATGCCGATTTAAGTACAATTTGCATCCCATTGAGCATCTGGGTGATGAAGTTACAACAAAGATGCCTATGATTTGAATAACATACGGTACTCTATACACTTCTCGATCTTGTTCACTCAATTGATTTGATAAATTGTGAAGATAAAGTTATGTCTGGTTGAGAGCTAGACCTCTGACGAAACAGATTTGAGGTCATAGTGCCCTACAGAGTGGACAAAATATATACTAAAAAGAAAAGAAGGAAATTGTGGTTTCAGACTAGGTGGGACTATTTATAGAATACCAAACCTATTAGCTTAAGTATTGAGGTAAGTGGAGGTCAACTTGTGTATTGAGCCTCTGAAACCTTTGCATCACTCCCCTGGGAACATTATTTAGAGATTGTAATTTGGCTCCTCTCAAAACTAGGATATAGTTATTTTAGATAAGGTGGTTCACCATGTTATCGTAGTAGCAAAAGTCTTGATCTCAAATCTAGTTGCCAAGTCATTGTGCATCTGTGAGGTGTTTGATGTGCAAAAAAAAAAAAAAAAAAGAAGAATCTGGCATGTAGGCCAGGGACCTTGTTGAAGGTTAAATTTGAATAGACATACGTGTTTCCTCTCGAACTGCTTTTATACAAGATGGTTCAACATTGAGGTCACTTAAATCTAGTGGAATGAGAATTTCTTTCATGGGCAATAATTAGAAATCTTTGCTTTTCTATTTTATACATTTCCTATTTCCTTGTTGCATTTTTCCAATGCAGTATATACCTGGAACAAAGATGGTTTTCCCAGGCCTAAAGAAACCACAAGACCGTGCTGACCTCATTGCTTATCTGAAAGAGTCAACATCTCAATGAATCTTCGTTGTCTTTGTGTACATTACCATTTTGCAGTTGAGAGGCATAATATGCCTTATTCGGAGAAGACAAATATAGTTCCTTTTTTGTAATAATAAATACATCTCAAACAATTATTTTCCTGAACGTTAATATCATAGTGTTTGACACCCATTTTAATAAGTTGAAAATTTTTAGAATAGTGATTGATTGGAGAATGTGTGGTTGAAAAGTGATGAAAGGTTTTAGATTTGTGTGTAATATTATTTTATTTGGAGATTGTGTGGTTGAAATGAAGAAATAGTAAAAAAATGAGAAAGAGAATGAGTGTCAAATAGGGGCTAAAAATTACCATTCATCACGAAAAGTAAATACTAAAATATTACAGTTAAAAAACAATTAAAAATATACAGTAATTCAAATTTAATAAATAAAAAAATACTATTCATCCAAAATTCAAACTTCTTAAAAAATTAAACAATAAAGTAGAGTATTATAATCTTCGATTCTCGCATAGCTTTAAGTAGCATTCCTACAAAATAATATAAATGTTTACAGAACAAGATTAATAATATAATGACAAATCTAGTTATACATCTACATGAAAAAAAATCATAAATGCATGGATCATTTGGATTTAGCCTTTATTTTCTCTAATTCCAAAAGCTCTAAAAAAAAAAAAAAGATTAAATTAACAATAAATTATATAAAACACATTTATTTAACATAATCCATGGAATAACTATAATTATATTACCTTCGTCCAATTTTTTATATACCTCAACATCTTCCATATAAAATCTCTCCATTATTGAAAACTCTTTAAGCAAGTTTTGGGCACACACCAAAACCTCCACAATCCTAGGGGTTAAAGAATTACGAAATGGATCAATGATTCTTCATCCAGTACTAAAAGCACTTTCTGAAGCCACTGTAGACACTTGAATTGCCATAACATCTCTTGCGAGTTTGGACAAAGTACCGTATTTATTTCCATTAAACAACCACCAGTTAAGAACATCAAAATAACTATCCTCTATATCTTTACAAATGTCCAACAAGTATCTATCAACATCATTTTTAAGTTCAACCAAATCTGTTTATGAAGCTTCCAATCAGAATCAACAAAGTGCAGTAATAGGCATATAGTTAACATTTTGAATAGAACTCCAAGTATCAGTAGTAAGAAAAACTCTTTGACGTTTTGAATAGAACTCCAACAAAGCATTCATCATTTTAGTACAAAGGTGAAATGCCCAACAAGCTAATCAAAGAATTTAGTCACTTACTTTACTTGCTGATACCACAAGTGAAGGTTTAAGTGGCTGAGTCTTAACCTCGTTTATTAAGTCTCCATAACTGACAAAACTCTGCATAGTTAAGAATGGTTCAAGACAGTTCTCGGTAATTCTTTGTTTTGCACTTATCTCTAATTTGATCCTTATATACAACAATCTATCAAACACTAGATAAAATAAGAAAAACGAGCACTACCACAGGCATGACAGACCTTGTATATCTTCTAACTGCTAGCATCTTCTCCATCCGACCCAAACAAGCTACCACACCTAACAAAAACCTCATCAAATTGACATCTAGAAAATTGTAAAAATGTGAAAACTGAATGTAGGAAGTATCAGTAAATGAAGGCTCTCACCCTACCTTTACCCTTCTCCTTTGGACCCATCTAATTCAATGCTTTACCCATCACACCACCACCATTTTCTCATTCAATTATTTACAGCAAGCACAGAGATGGAGAGAGATAGCGGCGATTTGAATTTGGAATTTGGAAATAGGGTTAGAGATAATGAGTTGGGTCAGTTTGAAAATATTTAAACCGTGAACCAACACGACCTAACCCATTTTTAAATCAAAATTGACCCGATCGGGTCGGGTTGGGTCGGATTCACGATTTTCGGGTTTATGGGCCCAGCCCTAGATTCTTTGCATAATAAGGACTTGCCACTGTTCCCTATGGTGGAGCCTAAACCATGGCCCAGATGTTAGGCTGGGCTTATAATCCATGTAGCCCGTCACATTTTAACACCTCTTGCCATAATCAAGGAATCAATAGGTCAGTTACACTTCCATAATCCATTTTCTTTTCAGAGAAAACAGTTCATCTAAAGTCCAAAAGTTACTAGTTAAGGCATAATATGAGCGCTCCCACATACTTGAGGATGTGTGTTGTTAGCATATATGAGTTTTCGATCATCTTGGTGAAAATATTTGTTCAGTTGGTGGCAGAGTTATCATTTTAGAATGAAAGGTAAATACAGCTAAAATCTTATCTCAAAATCTTCCCATTGGTACAAGTAAATCCATTTTAAATGATACTGAGAAACAAAACTCTCATCAATGCAACAACTACATCAAACGATCTATTCTAAGCTCCTAAACATTAATCTAAGACCTGGACGATCCAAACGATAATTATGAACATAGATACTGTTTAGCAAATCCATGCCTTATATTGCTTAAGGTTTTGAACACTGATGGACGAAGAATCCCTAGAATCTGCAAAAAAAAAAAAGAAAAACCATCTCCTTATAAGAGTTGTTGGATGGATATGGTGTATGGAGTGACAAACAAATGCCCGTAGAATCTTTATCAAACATCTGTTGGAATTTTGGCAGAGTAACGGCAATGAAACTTCAAATGAATAACGTCAAATGGATTCAAAGTCGAGACAAGTGTTGAATACTCTGTCTTTAAGTCGAATTTGCCCAGCAACGGTACTTACGATTTATGGCAATCAACTCCCAAGATACAACGACTTCTTCTTATGTGAGTAACACTCCAACTTATAAGAACAACGAACCCGATTTTGGTTTATGTACTCCTTAATACAAAAATGAAGAAAACTAGAATTTTATGCAATATATATATACAAAATTTGATTAAGAAAGAGAATAGAATGTTATGCTATGATTGCATATCATTGGTGTGAAGAAAATGACGTCCCAAGGGTCATATTTATAGAGTATGAGGGGTTGTGGACAAAGTGTTGCGAGCCAAACCTCGCAACCTTTCGAACAGAAGCAACTATTGATGTCGCTGACTTCTCGCTTGAGCAATATTGACACATTTTCATCAGAGCTTCCCTCATTAGTCTGTCGCTGACCTCTCGCTCGAGTTATATGCGAGCAATAGAGATAGTCATATTCCAGCTCGTGTATCCTCTTTTCTATCTAACTTTGGATCGCAATTTCTCATTCATTCGGAATTTGTTTTGAGCTTCCAAATATACTACGATGATCTACTCGACGAGTAGAAAGTTCGTCTATTTACATTTGTAATTTGACCATCTGATCAAGTTCGAATATTTGCTCAAAGTTGACACCAAGTCACTTGTTCAAAATTATACTTCACCAAATTTTTGATTTCTTTAAACCAATTCCAACAATCCCTAACATGAATGGAAATTCCTTGATATGCACAATATAATGCAAATGAGATGCAGACTCTAATAAAGGAATACATGTGACAAGTTATAGCTTTAAGATAAGCTTGTGACCTTGAACCTTATTTAGTTGAATACAATCGAATTTACTGAGCTAATTGGTGAATGTGATGTCTTGAACTATTCAGTCGTTCGTGTAAATTAAAACAACTGTACTAACACCATAACCCATCTAACCATTTCGGTTCTTATAGTTGTGTTCATTTTGACCTTGAACAACTCTTGTTTCATAAGTGCTTTAAGAGAATTAAGCCTCAAATTCTCGTAGAAGCAGCCCCACTTCACACTTATATAGGTGATCTCCTATAGTATAATACATCTCTTGTCTTCTTGCAAAATATATGAATCATTAAAAGTATAAACTTATCCTTGAACACTTTCTATTCCAGCGCTTTTTGTAGGAATGGGAATAAGTGCTTTTGCACTGAATCTTTCATAAGTTATCCTATTGAACCAAGATTTTGAGATCTCCAACCTACAAGGTTGGGTTTCCACTATGTTGATTCTATTCGATAGGTTTTAGGCTCATTCTCCTAGAAAGATGATATACTTGATTTCTCCTTAATCCTTTCGTCAAAAGATCCACTATGTTTTCTTTTGATTTAACATAGTTAATCGATATTATACTATTCAATATTAATTATTTAATGGTATTATGTCTCCAACGAATATGTCAAAATTTACCATTATACATACTATTTTGTGCCCTTGTAATGACCGATTGATTATCACAATATATATTAATCTAAGATACCGATTTTTCCAACATGGAATATCCTCAAGAAAATTACGAAGCCATTCTGCTTCTTTTTCGGATTTATCTAAAGCAATAAATTTAGATTCCATCATGGATTGAGCTATACAAGTTTACTTAGACGATTTTCAGGACATAGCTCTGCATCCAATGGTAAACACATAACCACTTGTAGACTTTGAATCCTTTGTGTTAGATATCTAATTTCCATCAGTATATCCTTCTAACACTGCAGGATATCTTGAGTAGTGTAATCCATAACTGACCGTGTGTCTTAAGTATTTAAGAACTCGATCTAATGCTTTCCAATGGTCATAACTTGGATTACTCGAAAATCTACTCAAATTGTTGATCGTATATGCTATATCATGATGCGTGCAGTTGGTAATATAAATCAAGCTGCATATAGCACGTAAATATTCTAATTGAGATACAGGATCACCAATATTTTTGGCTAAGTGTAAACTTAAGTCAACTGGTGTTTTAACTGATTTATCGTCATACATCTTAAACTTTTTAATTATAGTTTCAATATAGTGTGTTGAAACAATGAAAAACCATCAAATTTTTTAGAAATTTTAATTCATAATATCATGTCAGCTATTCTTATATCTGTCATGTCAAAATATTTTATCAATATTTTCTTGGTCGAAGTAATAATGTTCGAATTATTCCCCATGATTAGTATATCACCAACATATAGACATACAATCATGTATCTGGTAAATGTGGTTTTGATGTTAACACATTTGTTACATTCATTGATTTTAAAATCATTTGACAACATAGTGTTGTCAAATT